TTTTTGAGTTTTTCTTTGGCAAATAAATTGTTACCTACATTTAATAAGCAAGGTATACCATACAGGTCAGTAACTCGCTGGAAAGGAGCAAAGCCAGAAATTGAATCTAAGCAATGCTCCAGAACCTACCTGCATCATTTCTGCCCAGCTGCTGGGCTTCCCCTAACTGAGTGTTCAGCCAGTGTTTGAAAGCTGTGCTTGGAGGATGAACAGGGTTTTGGTGCCACAGAGGGAAGCGATTGTGCAGGTGGTATAGTAGTTCCGCTTTGGCCTGCTAACTGCAACGTCAGTGGTTTGAAACCACCAGCTTCTCTGGGGGAGAAAGATGAGGATCTCTACTCTGTAAAGAGCTAGTCTTGGTAACCCGCAGGGGCAATTCTACCGTGGCCTATAGGATCGCCATAAGTCATTTGATGGCAGTGGGGTTTTGTTTTGAGAAATAAGGGTGTGTAAAGCTTCAAGTTAAGAAAGACACCCTTTTCTAGAGAGTTGAGTGGAATTTCATAGTGAGAGGTGAAGCTGAAAGGTGGGTAGGGAGATGCTGCCTTCTCTAGGCTAGATGTCCTCATTGAAAGAGAACTAATCAGACATAGGAATGTCTTAGAAATGAGAAGCGAATGTTCATAAGGGGCTAGGTTACTTGCCCCGTATTAGCAAGTGCATTATGCTTTCTGACCTCACTTAATGGTGGTTGCACTTCTTAATACTCCCTTCATTTTTCATTGCAGACCCACGTCTGTCTCCTGATAGAATTTGGACCCAAATAAATATAACTCTGTACATTTATGTCACTCAGCCTTAGAGCATAGCTGTATGTGGGGCAGGCTTGATAAGATGAGTAGGAAGAACCAAACAATGATGAGTTGTTGTCGTGGAGCATGGAGTGCCTCGTTTTAAAAAAGAACTTGGGACGAGGAGCATTCAAAACCTGAGGCTAGTCACGGGAGGGTGCACGATGGGCCCGTTTGCGAATGGCATTGTAAATGCTGCTGTGTGTGTTTTTCCAGGAATATGGGACAGGTTGCTCATCAACTCCAAGCCTAACTCCAGAAAGAACTCACGTCTTCAGACTGTTCGGATAGAACGGAGTCCCTGTGAGTAGCCCCTCGGTCCTGTTTCCTCTGAGGCTCAGTTCTGCCCAGTTGAGTGTAAGTTGATGGAGGCGCTTTATGTCGTCATAAGCCAGTGACCGAGTCTCGTGGAGCAGGTTTACATGGGCCTGACACTGCTAACAGGATCGTTTTCTCCTGAGGAAAACAAATAAAAAAAGAATTTGAAAATAATTCTTGTTATTCCCTACAGGAAATATTTTAGGGGTACTGAACCCCAGATTTAATATGCATGTTCAGCAAAGCCACCCGGGTTTATTAAACTGGACACGACTCCTTAGAACACAACCTAACAAGGAGTCCTGGTGGCATAAAAGTTAAGCACTGG